CTATCTTCGAGGCCAAACAGGAGTGGCGGCGTTCCGTGACTGTCTTCAGCAAAGGGGAAGTCTCGGGAAATGACAGACGCCTTTATGGTTGCAACGGAGATGTGCCGCATTTGGAGGTACAGGCGACGGACAAATGTGAAGAAATGTCTTAATAATAATCTCAGCTTAGGAATATAAATTTCTATCTTACGCCTTGGATCAGATGCACGCTGGATCGAAAGTTTTGAGTATACCTTGGACGTGTTTCAAAAAAGAATCTTCTTCCACGCAATTAACAACACACGCACCAACCACATTTGCCCACTGCTTTACTTGTCTATTCAGTTGATGAATCTTCAGCAAATCATTTCACACGCACATTCGCAGATGTCAACACCGTCGAAGGCCAGCATTGGCAAGGCTCTCTCGGGTGGAGGAGTTTTTTCGTTTCCTTTTTTCTTGGTGGTGGTGCTGGGGTGGGTTTGGGGGTTGGGGGGGCTCGCCTGGATCGGTGACCAAAACAGCGCAAGGGATGCATCCTGAAATGGCTTTCCCAGCACTCCGCGTGGGGTAACCGATACTCCAGCCACGCATGGCATGGTCGGATCCCCTGTGCATCGCACTCTGGTTTTATGATTAAGAGCACTTGCCTTCCCACGGCTGCGATGTACGCATGCCAATAAAAAAACCGAATTTGGGGCCTGTGTGCTAACAGGCGTGGCCACTTGAGAGCATCAACGAAATAGTTAACAGCATTTCAACGTGCTCTACGCCGACAAAGCCAGAATTCTTGGGGGGGACGAAAGGTGCGTATCCACGCTGTCTTCGCTGGTGCCGCCCTCACAGATATTGATTTATCTCTCCAGTTTGGGCAGTAATGCGGCGGCTCATATCCGGGGAATCAAGGCAAGGACCACGAGCTGCGGCTTCAAGCATGCAGCCACCAGTTGATCTGCCGTGTCCGCCGCAAGGAAATCTGTTGTAGCCACCTTTTATCCCTTATAGGGCAATGGTCTTGCGCCCGTGAGGCGACGGCTTTCCTTCCACCGCCTTTTTTGACTGCCGCGGTTAGCGAACCTCCCCCGTAGTTGCGATCAAATTGCAATTTGCAAATTACGTGCAAACTGCGAGCAAATTGCCGTTTGCAAGTTGCGTCCAAATTGCAATTTGCGTGTCACTCTGATGTTGGGAGTGGGATCCGAGAGAAGACTCGGCACGCCCGCTACTGCAAATGGGACGCCGCTGCACGGGAGAGCTCTGCATTCAGTGCCGCACTGTGCAACTGCTGTATGACATCTAATTAATTATTTTTGCGCATGCTGGTTATGTACAAGCGGGAATCAAATTGCCTAATCGGGCCTTTGATCAAATGATGCATCAGTCATGACTGATGCCTTCGTGTATTGCCCTGCCCAGGGGTGCGCATATATGGGTCGGAGAACGGCAGCGCAGTCGTCAAGGAGGAGGATGCAATCCCCATGCTCGAACCGACCGGAGTTTTCTACAGCCAGTCCTGCGCAGAAAGAGATGCCTGGCAAGTTTCAATTGCGGGTGCTTGATACAACACAGAGGCAAATGAACGCCATTCCTGCAAGATGTGTCTCAACCAAGTGATCCTTAAGCCTAGCAAATTTTGTGCTGTTGGAATGCTCTGGTGATCATAGGTTCAGCTCATTCCGTTGCTCTATGGATAAAACCGTCCGGCTTCGCTTAAAAAAACAGCGCATTGTTTGCGGCGTTCCTTCATACAGACACTAGCATTGTGCCGCAATCTTAAAGCCCCGAAAAACTGAAGGTGAAAGCATCAAACCAACCCTGAACACTAAAAACTCATCCCGGACCGGTTCCAGTAGTGTTCGCAGTCCCGGTACTGTTTCTACGCCAGTACAATATCTGTGCATTGGGAGTACTGCGGCGCTGCTGGTAAACTTTTGGTGCGAAATAGGGCGTGAACTGATAACAAATAAACTATGGTTTGGGTAACTCATTTTATCCTTAATAAATCAGCTTTTGTTGCTGCTTTCTACAGAATTTCAGATAGTCTCTCTGCTGAAAATCGTGGCCTATCAAAGCAACAACTGCTGGAACTGATGCACCTGCAATGGTTTTGTTTACACGCTTATGTGTTACATTCAGGATTACAATGGAGTCTGATTTACAGGCTTCCCTCATATACCACGAGGATCCGAACACAAAAGGAAGTGAGGTTCTGGCGTGGGTGAACGATTTGACCACAGGACAACCAGTGGCGAATGCTAACGTCACCCTCTGGGTAAGCAAATGCGGAGTGCACAGCTGGTATTGTCTGAAAACAAACAGCCGGGGCTGTGAAATCCCACGCATTTGCATTGATTGTAAAGCTAGGGAGGCGTGAAGATTCTGAATGAACGCCTATATGGCTGTCATTCAATAGCGTTTGACTATGGATGTCTGATGCATGGCGCATCCTAGGCCACAGTTACTACGGCGATTTAGACAGGCGGTGTACGTCGGCGCGGCCGTCCGTTTCTTTTCTGAAACAGATTACTGAACGAGCGTGCTGCTCTTGGGAATGGAGACGCATCAAGAAACATCTACCTAGAAGAGTATTGAGCCAAATTCCATTGCCGGAAATATACGGCGCGAAGCGAAGGGAAGAACAAATTTCGAATTCGGTACGGTTAGCTTCAAATGGACGTACAGATGGTACACCCTAAACCGCTTGCGCCAACGACTTTTGAATCCAGGATGACTAAGGGGAGGCACTATGTCGAAAGCGGTAAGCTTAGCGTTAATTTGACGCTAAGGGGGGTGAGTGGGTTCTGGACTTGACACGCTAAGAGTTTGTGTAATTGGCACTATTTCGGTAAAAGGTCTGAAGATACCCAAAACGCCTTTGATCCATGGCAGACAGCTGGTGACTTGTTGCAGAAACCCCCTCAAGCTTTCAAACTTAAATGAAGACCCCAGAGTACCCTCAATAGACAGCCGTCAGGGCTGCCCAACCACCTGAAATGGCATTTATCATGCCGTTCTTCAGCGCATTACAATCGCTACAATTTTGGCCTCAAAAGTAGCTTGAAATTGTCTAGATCTGTTATGTAAATTTGCTGAGTCATCCTGGCATCGACATAATTTTGCGCTGGGGAGAAGGTAACGTCAAATTGACGCTAAGTACCAAAATCGACACAGCGTCTTCCCCAAGAATCATTATCTGACAAGATTTTTTTGAGACAAAACCGCCAAAGTTGAGCGGGTTAGAAAATGGGATGGCAGAAGCCACGACAGGCGGGTGGGTGCAGCTCAAAAGGCTGTAAATAGATTTACTCTGAGGGACTTCTTGAAGATGGCAAGCTTGAGGAAGGTTTTGGAACAAATAAAGAGTTTTCTACCACTTTCTGTCGTTGCCTGCTGCTGTCTTCCATGTGTGAACCTCCTCACCTGTACTTTGCTTTGGTGCAATTGCATGAACTCTCACCGCCTGTGACCCGACCACCCCACCCCACCCCACCCCACCCCACCCCCACCCATCACCCACCCACCCACCCACCTACCCACCCCACCCCCACGTCCATTTGAAGCTCAGTTTACGAAAATCAAAATATCGTATTCCCTTATGCAATGCGCGACATTGCCTGGTTGCGCTATCTTGCTTAGGAACCCTTGTACTAGGCTTGGTGGCAAAACCTTGTCTTTCTGCTGAAGATGCGCTCATCCATTCATGGATCGAAATTGGCCTTATATGTCTCGAAAAACTTTTGCTTCAGTGACGATATCCGTCCTTCGCCCATATTATGAATACGCAGTCAGGTTGTGGACATGCTCTGTTGCTCTCTGTGTCCAAAAAGCGATGCACCAGAAGCACCGCTTCTGGTGGTATCGGGCACAGCAATAGAAGAACTGCGTCCTACGAACAGTACTGCGTGATGTCTCACATAAATTTTGCTTCTGAAGGATTTACCTCTTGCGTGACATCTGTGCCTTTGCATGAGAGCGAGAATTCCGCATTCTCATGAAAACACGCTGCGCCTCTGAAACAGGATTGCAGACGGCGCCTCGTGGGAACTGCCACAACCAATGAGGAGGGCACGGCGGCGCTGGTCGATACTCATGGAGGCTTTCAGCTAATTAGTGCTGTGGAATACAACGGCAAGATCACGCTTGTTCCGAGAATCAGAATACACAAAGTCGTCAATAATGACTGCGACATCATCTCCGCGTTTCTCGATAGAAAACTCGTGCGCCCAGGCGAGGTGCTCCATGTCAAAGGTGAGCCGCTTGCACATTTGATATTGATCGCTTTCCCGTACCGTTTTGGAAATTCAGCCACAAGGGAGTGATCTGCGCGTCACCCTGTTTACAATTTGTCAGCAAAGATACGCTGTATAAAGATTTTGATATTGTTTTTATTTCACAGTTTTTTCAGCAAAAGGCCGATGCCTTGCAAAACATGAGGAGGGTGTTGCCGTTTAAGTCACATTATCCTTGGCAATCTTGCTACGGAACTCGCCAAGCTTCAATGTTGCAGGACAATCTCAGCTGGCACTTGAATATGACTTTTGTACAATTTGCTGGCGTGTTTCTATAATCCCACGCATCTAGGACTCTGCATCTGGGATCTATTGTATGAGCTGCATTCTTTACCTTGCGCTGGCCCTAGGGTAGCTCATACGATAGATTTTGATAGCCTTGCAGGATATCAAGGATGGCAGGCCTGCCATCCTGGATATTATGCAAGGCTTTTTACAATGAAACACTTCCCGGCATCCCAAGTGTAGGGCACCTAACGCTGTCAAGATTACGGCTTTTGGATCCTCTTGGCACGCCAGGTGCGCATCTGACCCATCATCGGAGCATGGCAATCATTTGGCACTGGAATATTTAATGTGATGTAATCCTTTCGAATGAATGCAAATTTGGGCATTGCTTAAGCGTGCGGCTGGAAAAGGATGGATGGAAATTGCGTGAAGTGCACAGCATTGGACGTTCGTCGGGGTTGTCAGGTTATGCGTGGAGCCGGACAAAGGCTGGCTTCTCCCCAGTTGAGTTCCGCGACCCTACGTACCTCTCCGTGCCCGGGCTTGGAAGGTTCGACGTGAATTTCGTTGCCAAATTCGGGAGCTTTGAGGGTCGGGTCGACATTCCGGAGGACGCTCGTTCCAAGGACTATGATGTGTATCTGAGAATTTCCGGAGCCAGCCCGTATTTGGGTTCTTTTACTGTGGGAGATCCACGCCTGCCCACCGCAGGGTTGACGATCAACGCTCCCGAATGGGTGAGAGTCCGAGCGTGCGGAATTGCCGCGCTTTTAATAAGGGACTGAACGACTTGTGTGAAATCTGCATGAATGGGTCTCTTTTTGAGAGTGTTTTATTGCGAAGCGCGCTTTTCATCATGCACCACTGCAAAAATACAGACAAGAAATAAAATATTTGGCTTCTTTCTGTGTAAATGTACTGCGATGTTTCCATGTATCTGTGATTGCAATCTTCAGATCAACTTGCACCCACACTGACGCACGATTCTTGTAGAAAAATCCAACATTTTCAATTGGAGAATTTGTGGAACTACAGATTTAGCGGCAATGTGGTGATAACAATGATAAAGGCAACACTGCATTGAATATTTAGTCACCAAAATGTGCTTGCAGTGGGTTTTCCCATCTGACGGCGACATTGCATTGCCGATGGCTCTCTGCAGATGATTCACTCTCGGGAAGACTTTGCGGCTTCGAGGACAAATGATTCAAATAACTAGGAACAAGCCTCCTGGCATTGAGAAAACACTGGCACGGCCTTTCATGCCGCCCTTTGACATATTTCTATGAGCATTCAACCATAACAATACAATTATCGAAAGCACAACAAGCGCGCAGGTGGAAAAGGCAAAAATCCAGATGGAAAGAACGGCGGAGACGTGACTGCTAAAGCACGTGTCACTAGGAAAAAACAGGCCAGATGACACAGTCCTGACACGGTCTGCTCAAAATCCAACTGTGTGCTTTCGGCAAATGTGGTCCCAAAAGTACACAGTTGGATTTTGAGCAAACCGTGTCAGGACCGTGTCATCTGGCCTGTTTTTTACTAGTGTGTGGTATTCACCAGCTGAGAATAGAGTCCTGAAGGTGCGAACAGCGATAGCATCGAGTCACATTTCACTATATCATTGTGATGCCAGCATTTAATGTCAAAACGAAACCGCAGTTGACATTGCCCAAAGGTGTGTTTGCGCTAGTGCTTTGAATTCAGAAATACGAGCAAAATTCTCTGCGCCTGAAAGATGCTGACACCAAAAGCTCTGAAATGTGTCATTATGCAGTCTGCAGCGTTAAAAAACTTGGCTTAAGGTGTGGCCGCGCTGTGATCCCAGGCGCTACCGACAGCCAATGTCACTGTGCAAGTGGTTGCGAGAAGTTTGATCGGGCCGGCGGTGGGAGGCGCCACCATGAAACTAGACTGGAGGATTGAGGGTGAGTGCTCTCAATGCACATTCGCCGCCTAACCGTCTAATGGTCTTGACTTGTGCCGGTTTGTGCGCTGATACAGTCACCGAATGAATGCATCAATATCGCATAAGCTTTCAAGTCCTGCTTTCAATTTGGTGCAGTATCAGTGCTCTCTCGCGCAGCTGGCTAGTGCACTGCACTTCGATGCTTCACCAGAACATACAACGGGTACCTCGGCATGTGCCATGTTCTGTGTGCAGGGCATGATGGAAAAGAGGAGCTGGCCAGTCAGGAGGAGATCACAACCAACAGTACCGGTGTTGCGACTGTGGTCATCAATTTGGCAAATCTCGCGGAGACCCCTTCGCTGCGCTCCAGCTTGGCGATCGACGTCCAGTGGGTGGGCCCCACGCGGGAGCTCATCGAAGAGTCGTCTTCAGTGAAGTGAGTTACAAGATTTCACTGTCGACTCCGCGGATTGTAATTTGCTACATGGCAATTCAAAGCCACCACGCCTCCGCTACCGTGTCCTCCCCTCCCCTAGTTTGTGTAAAGTGGGACAGTGAGACAGAGAAGTGTCCCGAACGAGGCGACTAAGCCTGAGATGCTTTCAGAACATGTACCCAAAGAGCGAGGGGTGAAGTGTGTGTTTCTGTAATTGTTTGCCTGCCGCGTTTTTTTGTTGGGACGCCGTTTCATGCCAACCCGCCGTTTTATGCCTCATACAGGCTGAGGCTCGCCAACATCAAAGTAACCCACATCCGATCCCTGGAAACGGATGTGCCTGGTGTGGGATTTGGAGTGGCGACAGATGTGAAGGACCTGCAGGGCAGCAAAGTCGACAAGGCCGTTGCCATAAATCTGGTGGATGTCCAGAAGGATCTGGAAAGGGCGTGGGAGGCTCAGTCGGCTGGTCCTGGGCGCCTGTCGGCGGTCGCCACGGCGCCGCTGGAGGGAGAGGTTGTGGGTTCGTGCCAAGTTTTATCAGGTGGGATCTGTGAACAGCAGCACGCCTTTGGATGTCACCAGCAATGATTCCACCATTTTGAGCAGCGCTTGGCTGTTTCAGCCATGGCAAGCTGCTGAGAATGTCTAGTTGAATAAACTACCAGGTGCTAGCGCGGCACCATATCCCGTGACAATAACCGCGTGTATCCAGAATCCTTTCCATAATGTTCCAGGGCCGCAGGTTGAATGGTATTTATTCCTGAATATTGTTTTGGAATCAATACAGCTCGACCCTGGGCGGAAGGACAAGGAACGCTTCGTCTCCGCTGACAGGTTTGGCACCTCTGATACCAAGCGGCTCCAAACGCCCTTTCGTGGCCAAATTCTACTTCCTCCGTCCAAGAATAATTGTCCTCTATTTAAAAGATAAATTTCGTTACCTAAACCGCTTCAAAAGTACAAATAAAAGTCAGAATCGAAAAGATTGGGTCCCAAAACCCTTGACTACCAATTTTTGTGAAAAATACCTAACCCCACTACCTTTGATGGCCCCCTGAAATTGCTTAAGATTTGGCCCAAAACTGTGCATTCTGATTTGGCGTTCGTTGGAGATCCACGTGGTTCTGGGTCGTTCCCCCCCCCGGCATGCCAAACCAAAGTTGTGTTTGCCATCGCAGCGAAGGGCAGCGTCCCTCTCGTGGTTTAGCCCTTGCCAAACACGCCCCACTGTGTTTGGATCCCCATCGAATAAGCCCGTTGTCACAGCATCGATGATGGCAGAAATCGCTGCCCTCCCAGATCTCCGATGCAAGAACTTGCCACAAGCGGAAAAGGCAAACGCCCAGCACGCTCAAGCTTGGGCTCTGAGTGTGCTATCTTTCTAAGGCTGTGCTATAACTTTTCTCTAACATAGCACCTCGATTGATCTTTGAATCGAGGCCTTCGTGTGTGGCTGGGCGCACACTCCCGAAATTGGCACTACCGGCCAACTTGTACGTGCAGTCCGCAACCCTTCCCAATCTGCATAGTCTCAACTTGTCAGAGAGACAAAAAATGATCTATCTGACCGTTCGCATCGCGTTCCACCTTTTCAATTGTCGCGGCAAGAGTCGACTTTGCCATCCCCCAATCCAAGCCATTCCCCCAATCGTCCGCCATAGATTAGGGTGATGGCCATCACATTCCTTCGCACCTCTTCAAGGGGCTTGGGAGGCCTTGCGCGATATCTCTCACAGCAGCGATGGAGTTCGAAAGGTCACGGCCCAGAAATCTGGGCCGGGAATGCAACCCCGAACTGGCCAATCGATCTCGAATTAGGTCAGCGAAGCCACGGCGACTTCCACGATCAAGCCCACCAAGACACGTTTTCTGCCGCTTTGCTTGTTCGCAGGGACCCCTCCAAGCTTCTGTCCAAACGGCATGGATAGTTTTGCACGGGCGGTCTTGTTTGGCCGCCGCAGAGTCGTGCTCCTCCCCATCGCGAAAACGGTTGTTTCGGTGACTTTGTTGAAAAACGGGTGGGTTTCTGGCGGGAGGACCCTACTACAAAGTGCTGCCAAATCCTCAATACTAAACGGATTGACCTGAAATTTTGACCGTATATTCCCGAAACATAGGCGTACCATTGGCAGAAATTTCATTGAAAAATGAAGTATCTCTGATGGAGATGTAGGGCAACAAAGTCATAGTGGACAATTAATCTTGGACGGAGGAAGTATTTATTTGGCAGCACAGAAAACTATGCCCTGGTGATACTGTGCACTGGTGTAAGCATGTAAAGGGACCTTGTATTGTACAAATAGTTTGGCAATACATCCATTTGCCTGAATTTTCCTTCCAGTAGTTTACAGCTCGGATTCGTTGGGAGTGGCCCTCTCAACGCTCCCATTCTGCGCAGCGCAGTCATATCAACTCTGTAAATCTTACTGATACTGCAAGGTCATTAGCAACGATGGCATGGGGTGACCTAAACGCGAAGGAAGTTACGACAAAAAGAGTACAAGCACAAAATCAAAGAAAAGACAAAGGCACCACAGAATTGGGTGAAATATAGTTCAACGTTCAATTTTCGATAACTTGCAGCTTGGTTGCATTTTGGAATTAACTGTTCATGCGCATGCATCGGGTGTCCGAATTTGCATCTGGCCTTGGCTCGCTAAGCCCTGACAGACGCAGACCCGGTGCTTGGGCAAAAACTTTCAGGGCTTTGGGTCCAGATCCTGGCGCTTTGCGGTGCTCAGCTTATGGTGCTCATAGTCAATTGCGCCTCGCGGCCCTGGCCCAGCCTAGACCAGATTGAAAGCCAGCGGTTGGAACAGTGCACCGACCACCACTCGCTGCTGGGCGATTGTCCACAGCACACTTTGTCACCTCCACGCAACAGCGGCACTTCGTACATGCTTCATCAATGGGCTGGCCACGGGTGAAGGTAGGCAGGGTTGCGGGACAACGACCGCCATCGGCAACCCTGGGATGGACGCGAGGGTCAAAGATCACAGGAACGGAACGCAGCCCACTGGTTTGAACCCAGCTGAGCGACGCCAAGAATGTCACCTTTGTGTCCTGTTCAACCAGCCACTACCCCAAATCTGGCCATTGCAACTGGCGATACCAGTGCATCGCCCGAAAACCTGACATGCATCTATGCCTTCCCACAAGCAAAATAAAACCCCTAAAACTCCCCCAGCCCTTAAAAACCCTTAAAAGTTGCAAAGAAATCCTAAAAAATCTGAGAAACATACACAACCTGAAAATAATATATGAGAATAATGAAATCCCCAAGGAAACCCGAACACATAAAATAAATAAACTACCTGAAAAGCCCTTAAAAAAAGCGCTGGAAAAACGATCTATCGAATCCACAAAATGGGCTGTGATCGCTTGCCAAACCCCCCAACCCCCACCCCCACCCCCGGCCCTCCTCCGCAGACCTCCTCCGCAGGCTCACAGCCCCCGGCGGGGATGGCATCACCGGCCCGTTCAGGAAGCCCGGTCCCAACGGCCGACAGCAATCCAATGCTGCTCCGGCCGCCGAAGGTGCCATGAACTCCCTAAATGTGCATTGCCTCATGTGTGGAGCATGTTGTTGGAAGATAATCACAGGAAACTTGGCAGCGGCTGGTTGGCGTTGGCCACGCCTGCGCGATATCTGGCCCTTCTGTGCGGACCAATAAGTTTAAGGCGATCCGCTGACGCATGAGCACGCTTTAAGTAATTTTCGCGGTTCCCTTTGAGGCTGTGGGGACAACGCGCCCTTGCAGCTGCTCCAGCCCCAAGACGACGATTGATTGCCTAGATCAAAGGCAACGTCCGGCGAGAACATTGTGCCGGGGCCAAACGTCCTGCCAGGTTCGGCTCTCTTATCCTGCTGTTGTCACGAACAGGGGGAATTCAATAAGCGTGCCTCTGACAGTGACGAACAATGCCTCATAATGGGCGTCTCCTTCTGCAACCATTCTCGAGAATTTGCACTAGATTTTGAAGATGATGAGGGTGTCTTGGAACCAACAGGCAAACACAATGCCCCAAGACTTCAACCACGTGCTCAAACGAATGGGAGAAACGATCCACTGGCACCAGCATGCACCATTTCCCTATTGGTTGTGACTGGAAGGAGAGGTGTTCGCCTCAGTCGCCAGTGCTCACATTTTGTGACCTGTGGGTGCAGGGGATCGGGCCGGAGGCTACAAAAACTGCAGGTTCAAGCTGGGCAGCGTGGGAAACTACGCTCTGGAGTCATGTGTCACAGACGACGAAGACAACCTGGCGTGCTTCAGGACCTTTTTAGGCAAGAACCAGACGCAGTGGGAAAAGAGGTAACCAGCAGATCAGAAGTAACTGAGACCGAAATGTGAAGCTGGGGGTTCTGTCAAAAGTGAAACACAGATGGGCAAGCTGACATCCATTGATGGCCACAGAGAAACAGCCACATGCTTGGGTATTATCTCCTTTTCCAATCTCATTCTGGCCATGCTGCTCAGGCCCTGGAATGCTTTCATCGGCATGAAGCTCCTCAGAGTGGGAGAGGAGGGAGACGCCAAATTGGGCGACACTGTGGAGCACTTTGTCGAAAATCCTTACACCAATGCTCATGCACTTGTGGTGTGGGGAAGCAGCTTGGGCTTGAAGAAAGAGGTGAGGTAGTGAGCCCATCCTAGAACAATTCTGTGCAGGATAGCATTTGTCAACCCAAAATGCGATGCACTGTGCTGATGTGTGGCTGAAAATGTGTGTGGCTGGGTCTATGTTCATAACCTGCTAACCTGCTGTCAAGAGTTGCAAATCTTCATAGATTGCAGTCATCAGAAAACATTAAAGCAACAACACTTGCACCTGGTATGTGACCCCAGTCGCTGTTCCAATTCACAAATGTTTGTTCCCAGCATGGTTTTGTGCCCTTGCCCTACTCAACAAACCTGAGTGCCACCATTGTGGTAAGAAAGAGGTCACAGGATGAAAATTCTGAAGCCCGCAGACTGGAGGAGGCAGGCTCAGATGACATAAGCTGCGTGTTGTCTAGGGGTGATCCGGTTTGAACGTTTTGGTACTTGTTGTGTGCATATCACAGGTGATTTCCTTGCCTGACAAGCAGCTTGCGACGGTGTCGGTTCCCATTGGACCAGAGTGTGCTGCCAGTTGCTCCGTTGTTGTCCATGTCAATATTCCCAGGCAAGAAACAGGCACTTCTAACCCTGTTGGAATTCCAACCACAACATTCTACGATCCAGACATGCCACAGACGCAGACACTGAGAGCAAGGATCGTTGTTGAGCAGGTGAGCTATTGATGCACTTTGACAAGCTGCAAAGGCATCCCAATCCTGTCAATACTTTTGTTGAAGGGTGGTAAAGGGCGATCCTTGCTACCAGGCAGCTATGGTGGAAGATGCCTGGTCTCTCCTTGGGCTTTTGCGCTGTCATGATGTGAAACTCTGCAAAGACACTTAAGTGTAGCAAGCTTGCTACTGTCACTCTGTTGGTTTTCGTGTGGTTGTGATGGTTACAGTCCTTCCTTGG